GGAAAAGTAAAGTAAAAGATTTAGTCAAATGGATTTTCCATGTTTCCTTGCCAACTGCATAATTCTGCTTCTCTCCTACTTTATTTGCATGATTTAGTGTCTTCTTTTCCATGTATTCAGACTCCAYCACAAATGTTTTGTTCAGAAAATATCTGTCATTCAAAGAGGAACAATGTATTAGGCATCTGTGCTGTTTCTATGAGAACATCCTTAGAACTAAACAGAGGAAGAGCAGCTACGACACAAGGACTAGAGGGACCCACTCACCCTAGGGGTATTTAAGTTGGGAAAAAAAAAAGGTACTGCACAGCTGTTTTGGAATTCCCTTCAAATGATTTGATCATCTTCTGTCCAAATGTACTTTTGAAGCAACCCTTTTACWGAAACAATATGACAATTTTACACTTATATGTTCTTTCCATAGCCAAAAAAAAAAAAAAAAAAGTTTATTTCAACTCAGGGAATATTTTCAAAACTTACTCTGGACCCAAAGTATTTGGAGCACATGCCAGGAAACAGTTACTCTGTATAGTATATTGGTAACCATCTAAGACTAAAATTTAGAGGTAACGATCATTTGTAGTGAGATGCTGACTGTTTTTACAAATGTCAGGACTAATAATACAAGGAAAGTTGTTTACTGAAGGGTGCAGCTGTACTTCCGATGACCTCCACTAGTTCGTTGCAGAACCAGCACTATAAACCCTTCTTGGGTAGCATCAGATCTGGTTGAAAATTGCCTTGCTTGCAGCGTAGTTTCTGTACAGTAATGTGGAAATATTTCCTCTTTTAGCAAAATAAAATATATTGAATATTCATACCTAAACTCTTAGGCCTTTTTTTGCTTGGTTTTCTTGATTTTATGCTAGTTCCTGTTTTTTCATGCAGATGTTTTAGTTTCGGTAAGTCTAGTCACAAAAATGAGAAAAGATAAGGGTTCCTTTTTTAGCTTCACGATACTACCAACTGTTTGTTTGGTCTGGTGTGCAGATGTGCCTGTTTTAGAGATTTTGAAACTGATGTGTTTCGGTGCAAAAAGGGAATCATTTAGATGGAATCAATGGACAATTAAACCCCCAAATATAGAAAACCAGACAAACTAAAATAAAACAGATCCAGAATAGAAAAGTGAGTTCAGTTTATGCTCCAAAACTTAGTTAAAGATAACTATTGGTGTCTACAGAATAGCATATGAAGAGCATATAGAAGCTTTTGGATAGAGATAGCAGAATAGTTTTGATAGTTTCGGTACATTTGAACAGTTTTTAAGATTATTTCCACCTATCACCAGTTCTAGCAAAAAATGAAGTAAAAAAAAAAAATTCTTGAAACTGTTAATTTGTATTCTTCTCAGAAGTTTCCATGAAAGTATGGGGGAGAAGACTTTTGATAGGACAGTGAAAGTCAATAGTAATGAAGAAGCAGGCAAAATCTGAAGGTCATGTACAGAAACAGGACAAAGTCAATGTGGRAAAATTAATAGAAAAATTCATCATTTCATATGCATGAGAAAGATACTGTAGAGTTTGCAGAAAGTCAAAATATGAGTGTACATAGCCAAAACTAAAAAAAGACAAGCAGACCAGCTATGAAATCACTCTGTAGCACTCTCTCTACTCAAAGCACTTCCCAAAAGCTAACAGAAGTTCAAAGTAGTCTTTTGTTTAAAACTAAAGTACAAGCATTTCTTTCTTGTTCCGCACGTGATTAAGCAAAGCAAATCTTTGTCTCATTTTGATGATAGGCAAGAGCTCAGATAAGGAAACTGCTGTTGCAGTGCTGACAAACACGCTGCCRTGGGCTTCAGTCAAATAAAGCTCCCATTAACATCCAAGAGAGTAGGATATTTGCTTTGCTTGTCTTCCAGGGAAGCAGAGGTTCCCTTTGGACCATGGGGTTATAAAATTTGACTCGTGTATTAGAAATGTGGAGACTATTTGAGACAACAAAACTAAGTAGGTGGTATCTAATTTCATGGCATGAAGGAAAGCTCTTGCGAAAGTGGCATGTTAGYTTTTCAAATACGGAGTGGTTATAAAAATGCTGCATAGGGCTGCTCAGCTGCTGCATAGAATATTAAGCAGTAATTGTCACTGGCACTAATAACATTGTGTCAGAATACAAAAGGTTTAGAAAAGAAGGCATTTCATTGAAATGCCTGTCAGATGGCTAGAGATKGGCTCTCAGTTTCAACTTGGTCGCTGTCTTACCACAGGGTAAGCTTATAGTTCCTATGTTGTGCTSTTCATCTACTTGTATTGAACCACCTTACTGAAAAAAAGGTATATATATCTTTTGTAGGATTGAACTAAGTTGAGTCCCGATCCTATTCTTCTCTTTGCATTTCCTTTGCTCCAGAGGGTTGCAGACACGCTTTCTGTAACGCCCTGCAAGAGCAACACCTGATTACGGCCCAAAGACGCAATTCCAGTGGAATGCTGTCTGGCACCTGGGAGCAACCTGCTCCCCTTCTGAAGGAGAAGCAGGTGCTCCTTTAGCTGCACACAAAATTCTGCTGCTCACATTCAAATTTCAGTATCAGGAAGGAGAGACATGACCCTCTGACTACCCAAGAAACCGCAAAATCCTTACATAAACTAATGCTGCCTATCCCTCACTAGATGCAAATCCAGCTAATGCTAGAAAATGTCCCTGCACAGCCTGGGAAAAACAAGTCCATTATCCTGTGCTCAGCTCATATGCCCCAAATGCTAGCACTGCTAGCACGGCAATCACAAGATGATTAGGTTAAATCTGATCCTAAATAAGGACTTTCAGAGACAGCTTCAATATAAATTAATCTTTCTAAAGATATCTCAGTGGTTACTGAGCCTAAATCCATAGACATCTCAATTTCTTATCCAAGAGCTGAAGTTGATTATCAGCTCTTTGAAACAAGCTGTCATTTAGCCCACTAAAGTCATTTGAAATTAAGACTCACTGGAATAATGCTGCGTGGGATGCACCAATAAGACCAGAGATATTTTACTTCCAGAATTTCAGGCTACTTTACATTGCTTGGTATATTGTCCTAAGCATTTTAATTACTAAGGATTTTTGGTAAAGTCATCTCTAACAGTTTTCTCAAACAATGCAAGAAGCAATAATGTCTTTGACTCCATGTGGGAGGACATGAAACAGTCTTTCACTCATCAGGATTTCCTCTATGGACTCAAAAGGGCAGGAAAATTACTGATGTTTGTTTGTTTGTCCTTATTATCCTTATGGATATTAAATTATCCTTATGGATAAATTCCATAAGCAAATATTCTGATGAAGTGAGTAGAGGGAGAAGCAGCCTACAAGGAAAAAGAGATTCTAATATGAATCTGTTAGAACTTCAGACATCAATTTATTGTCTTAGTACAAAAAGTCTCCTTATCTTGTTAATCTCTAATCCTTCTGTCTTAGATCTAGGACCCATTTTTTCACCATCCACTTCTTAGTTGCCTTATTTCTTCCTCTTAAAAACAATCGCACTCTCTTAAGCTCTCCTCTCCTTTGTAGCTACAGCCTCTCCCACCAATACTTTGAGAGCTGTCAACATAACAAGAAAACTGAGGATACAGAGAAAAGTTGCAGTAGGTGACATAGTTTAAAGAAGAAACTTTCTCTATTAATCTCAGTGCTACTTATCTTCTACATTTCCCAGCACTTTTTTTTTTCTTTTTTTTTAGTTTGTTATTCTTTTAATACTCTTTCTAACATAACTACAAATCTAGCATTCTGATTCACTTGTAATATTAATGGTTACACACAACCTGCATGGACCTTAGCTGGTCTGTATTTATTTAACTTGATTGTATTTTCCAAGATCAGGCATTTATAGGTTGATAGCTCCTCATGAGGCCTGATTTGCAGTGTTTTTTTCCATCTGTTTTCACCAACAGTGCTTCTGATCTTGATCATTTACATTTCAACCACACTTTATTTCAATATATGCAGTAGCAGAGGGCAGCTGTTTCTGTTTTTACAATGCATTAGACTTCAACAACTCCTATCAAAACTATTTGGASACAGATAATTCAAATACAGGTTGCCACAGAGATTCAACAGATTCATGGTTCCAGATTGTGAAGAAGAAAACATGATTAGCACCAATGCCATCCTCCTCACAGGTAGCAGAACTCCTCCCTCACTTTATTAAAGAGGGGTAATAGTGGCATTACGATGTGATATCTCCTATCACACATGCTCAGTGCATGTAATTGCAGGCAAGACCTGTAACTGATAAGAATGTGACTGATAAGCTCTGGGCTTAGACGAGGACAGTGGCTATGCTTCCTCAAAGGTGGTTGTGGCTCAGGTTTCTGTCACATATTCCCAGCAGCTCTAATGAGGATTGGGCCTTCTTGTACCAACCTGTGTGAAAATATGGGCTCTGTGTGAGTCCGCATCCTAGCAGGGCACGGGAAGTGGATCTTAGGCCACTAACACATAACCAGTTTGGTGGCTCGTTTGATCGCAGATTAAAACCAAGAAAGAAGGGCTCACACCTAAATCAACCACTGGCTGAAGCACACAAGCCAAAGCAGTGTTTTTAAAAAAAAAAAAAAAAAAAAAAAAAAACTTGAAATATCCTGATTCTTTTAATAAAGATGTAGGTAAAGTAGTGTTGTGATGTGTTTTTTGACTCCTACAAGTATGGTCAGATCAAGAAATGGCGTTCACCTGTCCAATAGCATAGAAAGGAGAGAAAGTAAGCAAAGCTCGGTAATCCTTTCTCCAGGTGGCAGAGAAACCCCTTAATTCACACGACTACAGCTCACGCTACAACTTAATCGGCCGCCTCAGACTAAAATAAAGCACCAACACTCATCTAACTGCATTTACATATATAAATATGCACAATATGGCCGCGGCCCGCCATAGCAACGGGGCGGGGCGCTGGGCGGAGCCTCGGGGAGGGGAAGCCCCGCCCCCAGCAGGCCCCGCCCCGCGCTGGCCCCGCCCCTCCCGGCAGCGGCGGGGCCTGCGGCGGAGCCTCCCCGCGGCCGCGCCGCGCTCGCCGGGCCGCCGCGCCGCGGTAAGAGGCGCCGCCGCCGCCGCTTTGCCCCCGTCCTCGCCGCCCGGCGGAGGGAGCGCCTTTCTTCGCCGAGGGGCTGGTGGCGGCGCGCAGGGCCCGGTTCTGCGCGCGGCGCCTACGCGCGGGGGGCGGGCGGGCGCGCCGTTGCGACCGTTGCGGCCGTTATGGCGTTGCGGCCTCGCCTCCTCGCCCGCCTCCGTYCAGAGGCGCGCGGGACAGGACGAGCGGCAGGCGGGGGAAGGAGCTGGCCGTTCGGCTGGGCTGCGGCTCTCAGGCGCCGCAGGGTCGCCCCGCTCAGCTACCCGTTTCTCTGCGAGCTCAAGTGTTTGTTCACGTCCTTGCTTATTTATGTGTTCCTGTTTTCCTCTCCGAGGTGCGGCCTCAACCAGGCGCGTGTTCTCGGGGCACCGCGGTGTCGTGTCGCCTCGCCGGTACCCTTGCCAAGCGCAGGTCTGCCTCCCAACTCCCTCCCAAGGGAGATGCCTCGTTAGGGCCTGATTGCCCTGTCCGGCCGGGCTCAGCTAATCGTGGGCAGAGGCTTTGCGATTCCCGTGTCTCATCTGCGTGACCGGGGCGTCATTAATTGCTGAAATGCGGTGTTCCTGCGTGTTTCTTTAGGGCTGGACTAGCATGGCTGGCTGCCTGAATGGTTCAGCTGGTAGCAGGGTTGTACTGGCGCTTGGAGTTACTCATTGGGGAAAAAGCTATCTCTAAATGGATGTTGTTTGCTCAGCAATACTCCTCTCTCAATGCTAAATTTTAGTCGGTCCTCACTTTCTTGATAATTGTAAGTAAATAYGTAATTAATAGTAAGCTTGAGGAAAGATTTAAAACCAAATCATATTGTGCGCAGAGCACTAGGGTCATCACGGTACTTCCGCACACTGTTAACAGGGTACTTTTTTTAACATATATTTGGTTGCCATGACTTSTACTGCGTCATATGGGATTGTGTGGAGCCCTGGTTGATAATGAGCGTTGTCCTTTTCTTTAGACAGTGCCTGCGTTTTGAGGGATGGTTGCTCAATCCAGCTCTGCAAGATGATTTTCACTTTCATTTCTGTTTATAAGCGCCAGCATAAAATTATTTTCGGAAGATGCAGTTCATCAACCTTGTATTAAATAGGCTAGATAGGGGGTGTTTTGACAGTGTCAAGGGTATAATGGGCCAGTGGTCTACTTTATGAAGCAGATCCTTAACTTGAAGTTGTTCTTTTTTTGTTATCTGCGTGCTAGATTTTTCAAGATGACAGTTTTCTTTTTAAACTTGTTGTTTGGACAAGAAGTGTCTGGCCTTCTTTAGCAATACTGAAATTTGTGAGTTATTTAATGCTAAGTAGAGATGGATTGGGTGTTCTCGGTGCGTGTAGAGTAAAATGAGGTGTTATAATTCTCCCAAATTCTCAAAAACGGTGCTTATCTTTTTAGATGTATTCTACATCATTATTTTATACTTCCATTCACTTGAAGGAATGTATTTAGGCTTCTTCCATTTTAAACTTCATCAGAACATCATATTAAATATTTCTTTCCATGATTTCATTTATTGAAATGTGTTACAGGGCCAAACCTCATTTTTAGTAAGCAGGATTAAAGGATTTCACTCAATGGTTCAAGTCAGCAAGTGTGTTATTACCAGAGCATTTGCAGAAGAGATTGGCAAAGTGCTAATGGAAGTCTGAATTGACAATAGCAAACAGTGGTTTTGTTGATAGCAGCCCAAACTTCCACCAGCATAGCTGAGACAATATAAAGAATTGCAAATATGGTTTTGATTTTTTTTTTTTTTTTAAGTCTATCTACTTAAAAATCATATAAAATGAGCACTTGCATATATGACCTGTCTCACTGGGTTAAATTCAGTTAGCAGTAAGATACAAAATTAACTGGGGTGGAGAGGAGAAGAAAAAATCTCAGCAAGTATATGAACCTAAAAAGAAATATCTCTTAGTGACTTTATACTTTCATGCTAAAATCACATGGTCATCAGTCAGAGCGCTGAAAAGCTGTCACTTTGGAGATGAGGGTTTAATTTGTATCTAGCACTGGCAGAAGAGCTGCACTGATTACTTGGAAGTGATGTGTTATGTGTAAGAAGTCTCTTATGCTAAAGATTCATGTACAGGTTTTTATGAGGGTTTGCTCTTTCTTGTGCAGGGTAGTTAATTCCTTACCATGCCATTTAAGCTTTATAAGGAAAATAAGGAGAAAAGAAAAGAAATGAGGTAACACTAATGAGGTAAAATCTCATGTTTTCCTTTGTTTTGAAAGCCCCTTAAAGACCTATAAAATATGAATGACTTAAACTTTTGAAAGATTTTTCAATTCATATTTTACATTTTTAYTTTGTATTTTGGGAGGTTTTTTGTTTTGTTTTTGTTTTKTAATAGGCTTTGAGTTCTAAAGTCCTGTTTTTCTTAAGAGCTCTGCAGAATTTCTAGAGAGCGAGTTTGCCCAGAGAAAGCTTTTCTACCATTTTGTGGAAGAGTTCTGTAGGTGATGGAGTCCTGGGTGCTACCRTTTATGAAATACTTAAGAGTAAAATGACTGAAGTATTAAATGAAGAGTCCCACAGTTCAGTGCTAGCAAAATAAGAGTTTTTCTAGTCTAAGCAGATGATGGTTAGCAGCTCTAGRCATATTTAGAGCAAGAGCAAACAAGTAAGAAATCCGTGAGTGTCCTATGCAATGAATCAACATTGTGCTTGTTATTTCAAACAGTTGGTAATATGTTTGGTCTCTTTAAATATAAAATAATCTTTTGAACTCCAAGTGAATGCTAATGTGATAAAAATATAATTGTTATTGATATGTGAAAGTCAGTTTATTTGGTCTACAGTTGTMCTCCAGCAAGCTAAATATCATTATCTCGTTTTGCTTAGGGTTTAGTGCTTGATGTAATGAATTTTGCAGTGGGATCTTTATTTCCATGAGCTGCAGTTAGGTAGGCCACAAAGTCAGCTTTGGAAAAGCAGGCTGTGAAGAAAACAAGTTAAGACAAGATTAGGCAGAGGTTTTGCTATTGTCTTTTCCCTGTATTTGCACCAGTTCCCATTTTGCCCACTCTTCCTCCTTCTCTATTTTGTTAGGAAATCACTGACCTTTTTCTAATTGCCTACATTTGCTGCATGTTACTTGTGTGTATGCATTTATGAAATATAAATACTGTACATTATGGTTATACATCTGTGGGAAGCTGATTATATTTAGCTTAAAATCTTGATACAATTTTGGATATTTGCAAGACTAGAAAATGTTAATAACCTGTTCTTTAGCTCAATGGAATGATATCAGTTCAGTAACTGAAGTTTKTTTGTGTTCCATAGACTTACCAGTAACAGAAATAAAATGCATACATTACAGTTTTGTAATTTGGAATGGATGAATCCCTTCAGCAAGGTATTATATAAGATGCAGCTTCAGAATATGTTATGCTGCATCCTTTTTATACGTATTTTTTTTTTAGTATTTGTCTTAAAATAGGCTATAATTGCATATTTGAAATCACACCCTTGATTAAACAAAAGCTGTGCTTAGGACATTTTGTGATTTCTGGAGAATGTTTTTGAGGCTCCTGTGAATTCCAGCATGGAGTGTATTTTCAAAGCTGTCTTGTTTTAGATCTGAAGGGCTGATATTTCGTGTCCCATTTCCCATGTCTTGTTTGAGCATGCTCACGTACAGGYAGAAAGCTCTGCTTGCTCCTCTTGAGAGTAAAGAAGCTGAGATAGGAAAATAACCCAGAGGTAATAATGGTAATGAGAATAAAAAGAAGGCATTGAAGAGACCGATTTTACAAGCTCTTTGCCACTTTCTCAGCTTTTCTAGAGCAAGAATTAGAGCGATAGTTAAGGCCAGTGCTATTCTGTGGCATAGTGCTTGCTAGCAGGCCCACACGCAACTGCAGGGAAAAATTAGTCCAAGGTTGGRCTAATTTTGGACTAAACTCTCTAAGGCTTATTCTCCAGGGATGAAGTATGATGCCATTGCTGTTCCCTCGGATGTCCCACTGACCCAAAAGTTTAATTTTCATACTTTTTTTTTATGTTTTCTCCTCCTTTTGTCATGTGACCTATTCCCTGAACTGTTTTGCACCTCCTTTGATTATTTTCAGAAAAATAATGTGCAGCAGCTATGTGAGRGCTGTGTGATTAGTTATTTTCATTAAGTTGCCATAAGATCGTAGTAATTTAAAGAGAAGTCTTACTCAAGGAAATTAGAATGTTCCAGTTACCTGCATATTTTTCAGATACTGTTCCTGATCAAGTAAATACCATGACTTTAAATTACACAATCTTTTCATAGAAAATAAAGCTTAAATCCCACGTGAAAGAATAGGGAGTAAGGCAAAACAAAATAACTTGGTATTTAATCATTAGCAAAAGCAAATATTTGACTTCATCTT